CTGCTGACAGCCATGCACGGTGCAGGTGGCCACGCAGGGAAGTCAAAACCACGCAGGAGACTCAGAAAACAGTGGGTCAGATTCTCATGAGCGAACTTCCCACCTAAACACAGACTTATTGTTCTTTAATCGCCAGAGGGCCCAAGTGCTCACCAGAGAGGGAGATGGAGAGACAGAGAGCGAGCCAGCACTTCCCAACGGGGTGCGATCACACAACAGTCCCTCCTTCTCCATTTCACCCTCCTGGCAGGATTTGGGCATGCACACGCACCCAGTGGGGCCACCGGGGCCAGCACGCGAACTGCAGTCAACCACATAGGACGTGGCTCCCTTACCCACCAGACAATGGGCCAGCCTTTAGTTTTCGATGCATTTCTTCCATGAGAGAGAGAGAGAGAGACAGAGACACAGAGAGAGACAGGCACCCCAGCGGGGTCTTCACACCACTGTCCGCCCTGGTCTCTGCCAGCTCAGCCCACGGGCCAGTGAGCATGGTCCTTCCCACGTGGGTGCAGCTGTGTCACCACGGTGCCACCTCCTGGCCCACACATATGCTTACATCTCCCTGCAATAGGATCACTTCGTATCCCCGTCAGGCCCGTACCCCCACAACCCAGCCGGCACCTGGCATACATCGTAGGGGCTCCGTGTGTGGCCTGACTGCTGGAGGCCCGCAGGGTCAGTGGCCACACACCTCCCACGGGGGATGTACAGGACGCCACCTCACCAGCCGGCGGAGCGGGGCACTGACAGCTCCTGTTTTCACCCGGCGAACGAGGGCGAGTGAGCACGCCTGAGGTCTCCGCACTCTCTTAACCCCTCGGCTTCCTCTCCTGGGAGCAGCTCCAATGCCCTGAGGCAGTGGCCACTTCCCAGCCTTTGACGCCACCTGCCAAATGCCCACCGGAGACACCGTGGGGCCCCTCGCCAGTCGCCTCGCCCAGGCGGGCCCACACTCCCTCACACCGGCTTCCTCCCTCCCATGCTGCCTTCCACTGAACAGCTACGGGATGTTCGAGCATAAGAAATCCCGTGATGAACCACTTTCCAGCTTCGACAGCTGCCAATGCATGGCCGGTCTTGTTTTGCCTCTACTCCACCACCCGGGTGGGGCCCACAGTCTGCATTTTAAGCCGTGTGTGTGTGTGTGTGTGTGTGTGTGTGTGTGTGTGTGTGTGTGTGTGTGTGTGTGTGTGTGTGTGTGTGTGTGTGTGTGTGTGTGTGTGTGTGTGCACGTGCGTGCATGTTCGACAAGCTCCTTTAGGTTCAGCTGACACCTCGGGTCCCACGGAATGACTGAACTGCTCAGTCCTCAGCACAGGGCCCAGTTCTGCACGAGAAAGCTCTCCTCAGTCTGCCCTCGGGCTCCCATTCCTGACTCAGGAGCTGGGGACAGGGCAGCGTGGCCAGTGCTCACTGAGCACGCCTGGTGTGCCAGGCCACGCACCAGGCCTTTCACCAGCACCCTGTGGCCAGACTCCCTACTATGGACGCAGAGACGGAGGCTCAGAGGAGCCAAATGACTTCCTGAAGACCACGGGTTGGGAAACGGAGAAGCGGGATCCTGGAGCCCAAGGTCTCACCGCCCCTGGACCTCCATCGAGCAGGGGCTCCTCCTCAGGGGGCTCCTGGGGTGACCGCTGATCACCTCTTAGCCCCTCTTATGCACCTACTATGTGCTAGACTCTGGGCCGGCTTCCTGGGGACAGAGCAGTGGGCACGGCAGAGTCCCCGGGTTCACGGAGCCCATGTTCTAGTGGGAGAGATGGCAGAGTGCGCAGCCTAGAAGAACGAGATAATCCAGAGTGGGGTGAGAGAGGGAGAGCAGGGTTGTCACCAGGGGTGGCAGCTACACGAGACAGGGTGGTCAGGGAGGGCGTCTCAGAGGTGGCGTCTGAGCCGAGACCCAAAAGAGACAGCAGCCTTCATGGGAACACTGGGGCACAGAGGGACCTGCAAAGGTGATGGTGCTAAGTGGGGATGGAGCGGGACCAGCCCACCCCGACTGCCGCTGCTTGACCGAATGCTCTTCTTTCCACGTCAGCCGACCTGAGGTGACTTTCGTCACTGGTCCCAGAGTAGGCGTGCTTCCATCTGCACCCTCAGCCTCAGACTCTGCACATGCTGGGCCTTCTCAGCTCGGCCCTCTTCCGCTACCGGACAGCCAGAGGGCCCATTCTCGCTGCACAAGGACACGAATGGCCTGTCGCTGGAAAAACGTCACCCAACCACGACCAGGCGACCACACAGAATCACCTGCCTGAACCACGGCCAGACAGCTCACTACAACAGGCAGCACGCCGTCACCGAGGAGGCCCGGCTGCACAGCCGTCAGTTTCAGGACCTCACCGGCCCCGCCACACTGGGTAACAGCAAACACGGACACTTCCGAGGCCCAGGCGGTAGTCCAAACCGAACGACGGACAAGACGCAGGGCGCAGCAGGGGCGAGGGCCGGGTGACCGTGCCCGTCACAGGGGAGCACACGCTGCAGTCAGACAACATGGCAGCCGCAACGCCAGGTGGGTCACTGCTGTCCAGGGCTCGGGAAGTCAGAATGGCTCTGCTCATGGACAAGGGTGTCCGCAGCATGCAGGGCAGGGAAGTGCCAGAGCTGCTGGGCAGGTGGTGGGGTGCTCCCCCCTGGCAGGGGTTCCTGAGCGTGGGACAGCGGGCGTGTTAGGGAACAGGGAGGACAGCCACGCACTGGAGGGCGGCTCGGTGAGGAGGGGGCGGGCAGGGCAGCGGGTCCAGCAGCATCCAGCAGGTGGTCTGTCCGAGCAGACCGCCTCCCAGCCCATCCTGTGCACGTGTCCAAGGCCCATGTGAGAGTGTGTGTGTGCGCGCGTGTGCTTGTGGATGGGTGTGCATACACACGTACACACTCTCGTCTGTGTGGGGGACTGTGACTTTCCCTTTAATCTGGGCCAGGTTTCCCGCAGCCAGGTGGGGGAGGACACCGAGAGGGGCCATGGATGGGCTCCAGCAGGAGGGTGGGGTGTGGTCAGGCCTGACTGGCCCCCACAGACTGTTCTGACCGTGGGACTCGGGGCCAGGATGGCTCTGCCTCTGCCATCGCCCGAGGGGCCTCAGGTAATGTCGGCTGAGAACGATGAGTAGCAGTGATGGGGACAGGGACGGGGACGGGGACGGGACGGGGACGAGCTGCCTCTCTTCCCCTCTCCATGAGGTGAGGAGAGTATGGTCTTCCGCACCAGCTGGCCGGGAGCAGGGTGTCAGCGTGCCTGGCTTGCAGTGAGAGCTTGGCAAGTACCCGGCCCTCTGCCTGCCCCCATAACCCGCCCACTAGACCAGGGACCCGGAGCAGGGGCCTCGCGGCTGGGTACGTACGGTTGGAGGTGAGTCTGTCCGCTCCCCCGAGGGCGTTGAAAGCTCCATGGACGTTCTGGACCTGTGGAGAAACAGTGAGGGACAGTCCCCTGGACTCCATGCCAGACCAGCCAGTGCCACCTGGTCTAGGGACCGCGCCCACATGCACAGGGCATGGGCGAGGTCTGTCTGGCAGAGGGGCTGTGGGGAGCGAGGGCAGCGGGGCCTGGCACACAGCAGGCACTTGCCTGCCTCCTGGAGCCCCTTGGTGCTGCGCGGTCCTGGTCACCTCCTGTCATCGCATTCAACGCCCGAGCGGTGAATGATGGAGCCCATTTGGCAGGATGGCAGACCAAGTCTAGGAAAGGCACCAACCCTCTGCAGCTGGTAGTGGCTAAGCCAAACTGGACCCGGGTCTGCCTGACTCCAAGCCTGATCTCCCGCTAAGCCACATGGAACACCACGGGAGGTGCGGGACTGCAGCCTGGCATGCTCCTCCCGAGACCCTGTGGCTCTCTGAAAGGCCTGTGGGGAGCCCGGGGGGGGGTGTCCCAGGGATGCAGGCCTCCTGCCCTGTCTGATGCAGGGACGCAGAACAGTTGTGGAGACACCGCCTCACGGCAGCCAGCAGGGCCATGTCCCCCTGGCAGGGGATCCTGAGTAGTGAGACTGAAGGCCACATTACACCTCCTCTCAGAGGACGACGAGAAATCAGATCAGCCACAAGAAGCCTCTGAAGCAAGACAAGGCCACACAGTGCGGCTAACAGGGCTCCTGAGCTAGATACCCTGAGGGCTTCCTGTAGGAAGTGACATTGACACTGCCATCTGGGGGAAAGCAGGAGTTAAGCAGGCAACAGCACGTGCAAAGGCCTGAGCCAGGAGACAGGAACAGCGCCCAAGGTGAGGTGTGGGGAGCAGGGGAGACCAAGGAGGTAGGTGGGGCCGGATTCCTGCAGAGGGCCACTCTGGGGTGGGGGGCAGCAGAAGGGGCCTGACCCCTGACCCCGGTTGCAGGTAGCTGGTGTTTATGAGCATTTAGCCCTGTCTGATGCAGGGACGCAGAACAGTTGTGGAGACACCGCCTCACGGCAGCCAGCAGGGCCATGTCCCCCTGGCAGGGGATCCTGAGTAGTGAGACTGAAGGCCACATTACACCTCCTCTCAGAGGACGACGAGAAATCAGATCAGCCACAAGAAGCCTCTGAAGCAAGACAAGGCCACACAGTGCGGCTAACAGGGCTCCTGAGCTAGATACCCTGAGGGCTTCCTGTAGGAAGTGACATTGACACTGCCATCTGGGGGAAAGCAGGAGTTAAGCAGGCAACAGCACGTGCAAAGGCCTGAGCCAGGAGACAGGAACAGCGCCCAAGGTGAGGTGTGGGGAGCAGGGGAGACCAAGGAGGTAGGTGGGGCCGGATTCCTGCAGAGGGCCACTCTGGGGTGGGGGGCAGCAGAAGGGGCCTGACCCCTGACCCCGGTTGCAGGTAGCTGGTGTTTATGAGCATTTAACAGGACTGTAGGCTTAGTGAGCCACAAGGCAAGGAAAGCCATTGGTCTGTTCTCTTGGGACTGAGTCTGAACATTCCCTCCCTCCCTCTCTCCCCTTCTTCTTCTATTCCTTCTCCTCCTCCTCCTTCTCCTCCTTTTTTTTTTTTTTTTTTAATTTGCCAGAGGGTATGTGCACTTGGGGAGGGAGGAGAAAGTGAGAAGGCATCCCCGTGGGGAATGATCGTACCGCACCCCTCCTTCCGGGATTCCGGGCACCCACACACACGTGTCCAGCGTGCCCTTCAAGCTGCCGTCCCCAGGACTTGGCTGCGTAGCCGGCCGTGTGGGATCAGCCGCTTAACACTACACCGCTGGCTGGCCCCCTGACTGTAACTCTGTACCTGGGATGGCGGGTGTCGCAAAGACGAGCGTGCTAGGCTGTCTCCCCTCACTGCTGGTGCCACCGCGTCACCTCACCTGACTATACGGTCGATTAACATCTGCCTTCCTCTCCTAGAAGCGCCACGTGGGCTGGGCCCTCCGTGTCCTCACCCGGGCTGGCACGCAGCAGGTGCTCAGACATCCAGCGTGGACAAGCCCTACGTCTGATGTCCCCCACGCTGGTGGCTAAGCTCAGGGCTGTTGCTGTCCTGATGCCGCCCACACCAGCAACACGAGGTAGCGTCCCCTCCCTCCAACCTGCCAGGCTGAGCCTGGCCATCCCTCCCCTCCTGCCTCATCTTGCTCACGGGCACAGCGGGCAGGTCGGTCCCCGACCCCGACCTGACCCCGGCGGCCCCACACCAACCCCACTCCCTGTCAGGTGGATGTGCTCAGCCCTCTCGGCCACCCCGAGGAGCCCCTCCTGCAGCCGCGGCACCTCATGTACTCAGTGTTATTCTGGTCACTTACTAATCCGTTTTCTAACGGTGACCATAAGGGTCTTGCACATGAAACACGCAGGGGATGTACATGAAAATGACCAGCTGATGGCCACGGAGCGGGTGCTCTAGTGAGGGCTGATGTGAGGATGCCCCGTGCCTGGGCCCCAGCTCCCCGCCCTGCTCCTGGTCACATCCCTCTCCTCCAAGGCTTGGTTTAGGCGTCGCCTCCTCTGGGAAGCCCTCCCTTGGTTCCCAGGTTCAGGTGTGCCCTGTGGCCTGCCCGAGGCCATCTGGAACTCGGTGCCGGTGCTCCCCTCGTCTTTGGCTTTCCCGGGTCTACGTCGACGTGTGTCCTGACACCTGATCACCCCTCCACGTGAGAGTGGGCGTGAGAGCCCTGCATTGTTATTCGTCACTGCAACACGCTGTGTGACCTCTGACAAGTTGGGGAACCTCTCTGATCCTGATGAGGAAAAAACCGCCCTGCCTAGCATGCTCGGGAGGTTTCTGCGGAGACTGAGCAAGGCAGCACATGCAAGGCTGGAGGAGTGTGGCGTGGTGCAGAGACTGGCTGTGAATCCTGACTGTGCCACTGAGGAGCTGTGTGACCTTGGGCATGTGGCTCGGTGCTTGGCAAGCAGTGCTCGGTGCACAGAAAGCATCCAACCCATGGCCAGGTGATCTTGCTGTGAGTGGTTCATACGTGTGAATAAGAGTGTGGACAGGTGCGTGCATGTGTCTGTATTGGAGAGGGTCTAACCTGGGAGAGGCTGTGTGTGTGTGTGTGTGTCCAGGGATGAGCCCTGGGGTATTTGTACAAGCACACGGATGTTAGGGCACAGCTTCGAGCGTGTGTTTATTCTGAACAGATGTGTGCACATGTGTCATTATGGTGTATGTGCACACGTGGCTGTGGGCCAGCGTGGGCCAATGTGGGCCGTGGCACATCGCCATGCCTGCAGGGTACCCGTCAAGTGGCCCCAGCCAGGAAGTGAGGAGCCTCAGTGAGCAGGGCGGTGAGGATCCTGGGCTCCGTCCCAGCAGCCGGCGCACAGCAGTGGCCTCCTGCCCTTCTCTGTAAAATGGGCCGTAGGAGAGCTGACTTGCAGGGTCACCATAGAGAGGGGGGAGAGGGGACTTTGAGACCCACTGCCTGTGCTGGCAGAGGGCAGGTGGCTGGCGTCTAGAGCCAAGAGCCTGCTGGTGCCGTCGGCACTGCTGTGGCACCGGGCTGCTGGCCGGGTCTGCCGAAGGGGGCCCTCTGGACCTGAGCGAGGAGGATGCTCGGAATACTCACCCCCACACTCCGCCTCGTGCACAGGGATGGGCACTTTGCATAAGGCAGATGGCATGGGGGAGTGGGGTGGGTTCAAGTCGGACGGCTCCTTGGGGTCCAGCCCCCACATCTGTAAAATGGGGTGCTCCCACCTACTCATGAGACTGCACCAGCACAGAGAAAGCCCCGGCACCATGACCTTGGTCACTGAAGGCGGGTCCCTCTCCCCAGGCCTCAGTCCGAGCTCCAGAAATTCAGCCACACTCAGAAGGAAGGACAGGGAGCTGCTGCTCAGACCTCACTCAGAGGGGGCGAGCCCGCAGGAAGGCATCCCTGTGCACAGGAGGGCACGGGGCACAGGCTGACACAGCCCCGGATACCCGCACCACTCCGAGCGTCCCGGCTCACCTGCAGCGTGTCCCCAAAGGAGAGCTTGTGGATGACATGCGTCATGTCCGGGTTCTGTGGCTGGGCCGTGGCGCTGTGTGTGGACACGTGGAAGTTGCCTGGGACCTGCGGGAGGAATTTCGGGAGCGTCAGGAGTTTGGGTGGCTGCCCAGGAGTGGGGGTGCAGGGCTCGTCCTGTGTGATCCAGGCAGGGGGCAGGGGGCTTTGCAGCCGGCTTCTCATTTCCAACCTGTGACCTTGAAGGAGTCACTTTATCTTTCTGCGTGCTGGGTCAGTTTCCCCACTCTGTGCATGTTTCCCCGTCAGCAATGGGGGGTAGAAACCACAGCGGGTCCCTGGGAGGCTTACACGAGCTGAGGTGTGCAAAGCAGCCATCACTGTGGGGTCGGGTTTGTCAGGTCAACACGTTTGTCACCAGCACCGACAGAAGAGGGCCCCTGAAGAGGGACCAGCGCAGGCACTGCAAGGGCCCACTTGCCTTGCAAGCGCCGCAGACAATATGTGGGTACATGTTTGTCACCAGACACTCGCATGATGCGAGTGGAACTGAGGTCCCTGTGGCCTGTCACCCCTAGAAGGAAGAATTGGATGGCCACCCTTCCAGGGCTTCTCCATGTTGTGACACCGGCCTGCTCCCGAGCTGGCCTCCTGCTCCTGGAGTGAAGTGACTCAGGAAGGCTGCCTCCTGAGCTCTGCCACCCGCCGGCCGCCAGGCTGACTCAGGAGCCTACTCCGCTCCCCGGCAGAGCCATCTCAGGTGGTGACTCATGCCAGCACACGCTGGGCTGGAGAAAAACGACGACTCTTTTAGAGCTGTGACTTAGGGACCTACGTCAGCATCTCGATGAATTTTAAAAACAGGGAGCATCCTGCCCTCCGCCCAGGGGTGGGGGTGCTGGCTGCTGAAGTGGGATGGCCACGTGGTCTCCTCACTCTGAACTTGGATGCCTGGCTGCAGCCACTTCCTGGAGGACTGTGCACGAGTCCAGCCCAAGGCTGACCTCGCCGTCATGGCGCATTGTCCCCGCTGCCTCCCTGATCTGAGCACTCTGGACGCCGGGCAGCCCCTCGAAGGCATGAGTCCCTAACAGGGAGAGCGGCTGGGAGCGTGGATGGAGTTTCCACTCCCTCTGAGGGCTGGGGGCAGAGGGTGGCTGGGCTGTGACCTGCAGTCACGCAGGCACGGTGGTCATAGCACATGGGACCGAGGTGGTGGGAGAACGGGCAACAGCAGCGGGCTTGGGGTAAAGAGCTGGGGCTCTGGGGCTGCCTGGGCCCACATCCTGGCTGATCACTTACTCCTCTGTGTCTCAGGCTCCTCATAGCTATTGTGACGACTAACTCAGTCAGTACGCAGACAGGGACAGGTAAGAACCCCCAAAAGGGCCAGCGGGTGGCATGGTAGTAAGGGCACCGGATACTCCCACATGGCTGACCACAGTTCGAGGCCCAGACCTGGTGGCTTGCTTTCTCACTTTCCTTTTTTCTGTGTGCCTCTCTTTCTCTGGTCAAATTAAAATAAATGAATGAATAAAATTAAATAAATGATTCTTAAAACAACAACAAAAAAACCCCACTAAGAGTTAACCATAATCTGAGAGCTATTGAGACCTTCCATAATTCCCGGCCTGTCCCTGACCAGGGAAGACCGTTTTCTGGACATCCTTCGTGCGCATTTTGGAAGCACATTTATACCCAGCTGATGGTGGCTGCCAACTGATGAGGCCATCAGGACATTCTGTTGATGGGCGATAAGGACGGCCAGGTGGTTAAAGAAGTCGGGTCCCACATGGTGGACCACGGTTTGCATCCTGGACACGGTGGCTTAAAAAACATGTCGAATGTGTATGTGTGCGCATGCCCCAAATTCCAACAGGGTGGAGAAATGGAGGAGAAGGGACAGCGGTGTGACCTCACCCCGTGAGGGCTTTTTGCCTCTGTCTGCCTCTGTCTGTCGCTCTCTGCCAACTGCACAAACCATCCAGCAGTTTACAAAGAGCTTAAAAAACACAGGAGAGTTTGCAAATAAATGAAGCCATTGAGCATCTGCAGATTTGGGTATCCACAGGAGTCCTGGCGCCCTTCACCCTCAGATGCCAAGGGACAACTCTAGGTTCTCTTCTGGGTCCCAGAGCCATCCAGCCCTGTCCTCCTCCCTGACAGCACCTGCTCTCATCCTTTGCTACTCCTCTCACCTCCCTACTTCTAAAGGATGGAGTGCACCAGCGCCATCCTCAAACTGCATTTCTCTCCTACCTTAGGGTCTCATTTTTCTTTCTGGTTTTTGCCATAGGGTGCATGCACTCACTGAAGAGAGACAGAGAGACAGTGAGAGGGAAAGTGAGACGTCACCCCCAGGGGGACAGCCATGCTGCCATCCCTTGTCCTCCTGGGATTTTGGGCATGCACATGCACCTGGTATAATTTTCAAGCCAGCAGTCCAGGGCTCAACCTGCAGTCGGCCATGTGGGAGCACTGTTAGCACAACACGAAAGGGCCTAATACCACTGGTTATAAGCGCCCTAAGCACCAGGCCACCTGCTGGCCTTGTACCTTAGGTTCTTAATGCTTTTGATGCCATGGATGATGCATTTCCAGTCTGATACCGCCTGTGTTTAAATGCTTAAAATGGGGACCAGCAGATGACATAACATTTATGTTGTTGGACTCCCACATAGTTGACCATGGTTCAAGTCCTGGACGTGGTGGCTTTAAATTCAGGCTGAACACATGTGTGTGTGTGTGTGCAAGATCCCAAGAAGTGAACAGAGGAGAAGGGATTGTGACATGGTCATCCCCGCTCCGGGGGTGATTTCTTGCTTTCTGTCTCTGTCTCTTTCTGTCTCTCCAGTGAGCACACATACCCTATCTCAAAAATCTCCCTGACAAAAAAAAAAAAAAAAAGCTTAAAATGTTTTTAACACATAAAATATGTAAGAGTACGAAGGGAAAAAAAACTGCATATTTAAAATTACAAAAATCATTTAAAATGCTTGAATGTGCTTCTTCAGTAATTCATAAAATAACGAGATGTAGGGATGAGCCAAGGAAGGCTGCAATTTCCGAGCAGCGCGGAGATGGGGGAATGTAAGCAGGCTCGAGATCACCCGCAACCACAGTACTGTGAGATGCTGTCGGCGGTCCTGGCTCCGACAGGCGCTGCTAGCTCTGCTCCAGTGTGCTGCCTACGTTCGTCACGGAAGGAAGTGCTGTATTTATTCTACTAAAAATAAAAACGTCATTTTTTTTCCCATTCAAGTTCGTGCACCCACCGAATTCTCTCCACACTCGGCGGGGATCCCTGTGGACTCCAGGTCTAGAGCAGGCTCCAGGCTCTCCTAGGGAACCTTGCTTAGACCAACCCGTGATCTGCACATGTTAATGGAGTCAGACTCTCTCAGAAGCCCTGTGCTAAGGTTTGAATGTGGCCCCAAAGTTCCCCAAGGGCTCTGATGGACTACTGTCATTTCAGGAAGGGGCTTGTTCCCTCCATGGAATGACAGTGCACAAAGACCCTCACCTGGTACAGGTGCCATTCTCCTGGTCCGCACCTCCAGAACGGGGAGCCAAGTAAGTGTGTGCTGCTGATAAATCCCCCATGTGGTGTTCTGTTAGCATAACACGAAGCGGCCTAATCCCACTGGTTATAAGACGGACTCCACAGATCCGAGGTGGGGCTTGGGACTGGCTTTCCTGAAGACCCGGAGCTGCTGGTCGGTCAGCCTCACTCTGAGCAGCACCTGTGGACCTGGACCTGTGACTTCCAACGCCACCTCTCCTATATGGATGCCTACCGCCCAGAACACTCTCCTGAACCCCAGATCATGCCATCAACTTCCAGTTTAACACCTGCCCATGGACGTCTATGGGAATCCCAAATGATGGGAAGATCTCGGCTCTGGGGGTGAAGCAGTGGCGACCTGACGGTGCGTAGGAGCTGCCGGGGTGCCCAGGAGCCGCCCAGCTCGCTCCTCCCCTTGCTGTCTACCCCCCCCCACGGCACCCAGCACCCGTGGAAAGCATCCCTCCACCAGGGTGGCAGCTCCCCGGCCCAGGAACTTGGTCCCTCTGTTTGCCTCACGGCCCCAGAGCTGGCCGCTGACCCTGGTGCTCAGTGACCTTTTCTTGAAAGACTGCACGAATGTGGATTCATTTACTTAATCCTCAAACAAATTCTATACCATCACGCTCAACTTAAAGACGTCAACTCCGGAGGCTAAGAAGGGTGGAGCCTCAGCCTGCTTGGCCAACAGAGAGCACAGCTGCAGCTGACACCCAGGACTGGGCTGCAAACGTCAAGGCTTTCTTACCAGCCACTGTCCCCGCATGGGGGAAGCGTAGCCCCTTCCTGACCCAGCCTTCAGAAGCTCAGAACCTCAGAGCCCGGAGCCCCGTCCAGACGCTCAGCAGATGAGGGCGGTGACAGGCTGGTGAATGGCCGGACATGGCCCCTCAACTTGTCGGGGCTCATCCAGTGTGACCAGGTGGACACGTGCTTCCGAGGAAGAGGGGGCGGGGGCAGAGCAGGGCACCGCGGGGTCTCGTACCTTGTTGATGCTGAACTGCCCCTCGAAGCGGCAGCCCGCCCCGTTGCTCAGCGGGATCTTCATCGAGTTGTCGATGTGGCCCACTTCGTGCCGGCCCATCTCATCCTGAATGTCCAGCCCGACCACTGTGGGAGCCAAGGGGGAGGAGAAAGTCACAGAAGCCCAAGGAGACGGAGGCTGGGATGTCCCCTCCTCTGTGGAGCCTTTTCCCCCTTCTTAGAGAGATTTTTGCTACAGGGCATGTGCGCTAGCCGAAGAAACAGAGACAGAAAGCGAGAAATCACCCTCCAGGGGGGATGGCCACGCCGCAGTCCCCTCTCCTCCATTCTCCTCCCGGGATCTTGGGCACGCACGCACATGTGCCTGGTATGAGTTTTAAGCTGCCAGTCTGGGACTTGAACTGCAGTCGGCTACATAGGAGTCCAGGCCCCTGTGCCCTTTTGACCACTCTATGGACATGCCAACTCCTTCAAGAATTCCAGAAGCTCCCGGTTTGAGGTCTGGAGCCACAGAGAGGAAGTTTTCCCACAGAGGGAACGCGATCACACAGCCAAGAGGGCATGACCCTCCCAACACTCAATGCCCAGGGACAGCCATAAAGCCCCTCCTAGTGCCTGCGTAGTAAGCGGGAAGAGATTGGGGTCAGTAGCAGCTAATGGGGCCGGGGACCGGGGACCGTGGGTGCAGGAGGCGACTCCGCTAGCCATGAGGCTGAGGGAGGGTGGTGGTTAAGGGCCGAGACCGTGGGGTCTGCAAGGCTGGTTATGGGAGTCCTGGCCCTGCCTCCCACGGCCGCACGACCTCCGCCCAGGCACTTACTCCTGACGCCTCAGCTGCCTCCTCTGTAAAATGGGAGTGATAACTGGACCTTCCTTGGAGGGCCCCGAGGATCAAATACATCACAGGTAGAAATGCCTCGAACGGGGTCTGGCTCACAGAACTGGAAAGTGTTTAGGGAACACCGGGCCTTCTCGTATCTCAGCAGACCCCGGACAACAGGTGACAGGCTGCAGCACTCGGTCCGCCTCACCTGCTCATGCCTGCCTGCCTCTGCCAAGGCCCGTTCCTTATGAAGCCGCTGGACGCACAGGCCCCGGGGAACGACGGCCCTGCCCTCTAGGAGCCCGCTGCTCTCCCAGGTCCTCAGAGCACCGGCCTGCCCCGATTCCCCTGGGACTCCGTCTGCGCACTGTGGCTCGACTTCCCCATCTGTAACATGCTTCCCAGTCTCCAAGTCGATGTCAACTGTGGGGGATCCCTGTAAGCCACGTTCAGGCAGGAATTCCCCGTGGGGGCGCCACAACGGAGGCTCCTTCCGAGAGCCGGGAGCATAGAACAACACGCCAACCGGGGAAGGGGAGGCGCGGACCACCCCACATTCCCCCTCAAGGGTGGGACTCCGTGAGGGCCCACCGACAGAGGGAATATGATGCAGCCATCAGGGGGACGCTCGTGGGCCCGCGGTACGTGGGGCATGTGATGCTCTAAGGCCAAGGTGAAAAGAAACGCAAGCAGGTCCTGGCCTCTGCAGGCCCGCCCCCAGGGCCCACTCCCTAGCAGCGTGCGGGGCTGCTCTGGGCGACCTTATCTGAACCCGCGACAGCAAAAGCAGCCCCAGTACCGCCGCACCGTGCAGGGGTGCGGAGCACGGAGAACGGGCGAGAGCTCCATGTGGGGACGGAGGGCAGAGCCGGGCAGCAGCTACTGTGCTCGCCCTGGGAACTCAGCGAGTTACCTACTGTGCCCAGGTGTCCGCCTCCACCATAAGCTGGGTGTGAGGAGTAAAGAAAACAAAAACGAACCTTAGATACACGAGACGTGCCTCTGAGCGCCCTTTATGTAAGAACGCTCTCAAGGTCTCTGTGGGGAAGACCGTATTATCCATTCTGCATCTGGGGAAACTGAGGCGCAGAGATCTCAAAGCTAAGAGACAGTGGAGCTCGGTCAGGCGCCAGGGAGCCTTGCTCCAGAGCCCTTCAGCACCTCTCCTCGAAGAACCTGTCATCCCAGCGCCTCGGCATGGCTGAGTGAGGCTGGCTCCACTGCCTGGTGGCTAAGGCCTGGCTGACCCCACGGCTCTAGGTCGGGCTTGATAAGGTGCCGAGTCCTGTGTGCACAGAAAGTCTCACCGGACAGACAAAGGGAGGAGAGAAGACCGGTGGGTATGCGCCCCACGGGGGGGTGCTTTCTCTTCCTCTCTCTCCCTTTTCTCTCTCTGGTGAGTGCATGTGCCCTCCAAAATTGAAAAAAGAACACCACCACCACCAAAAAAAAACAAAAAAACAAAAACAAACCCAAAACCAGAACAACAGAATTCAGGACAGCCTGGTCCACAGCACGAGCTTAATCAATGTAGCTGTTGTCACTGTTGGACTCTTATTTTGAGAAATATAAGAACCACCCCAAGATATTAGCTGAAAAAATAAGAACACCCAGAAGGGTCCCAAGTAGTAGGGTCCCAATGAGGTAAAAACTAACGCACGCACGCGATGTACGTTTGCATACAGATGGACCCACGCGCAGAGCGATGGGGCAGGCGGTCCCCACCAGGAGGGGCTTCTTGGAGGAGGACAACAGGCTGGGAGAAAGATGGGCGGGGGGGGTGCTTTTACATGATTTCTTATTGTTTTCTTTATGTATTTTTGTGTTTAGAATTCGTGTCCTTTTATTTTTTTAAGAACTATTTTATTTAACTTTATTCATCATTATTATTATTTTTTAATTTGAGCAGAGAGAGACAGAGAGAGAGAAAGTAAAAAAGCAAGCCACCAGGTCTGGGACTTGAATCTGTCAGCCATGTAGGAGTCTAGCGTCTTAATCACCATGGCACCTACCAGTCCCTCGTGCCTTTTCTTTCTTTCTTTTTTTTTATAGAGGTTTTTGCCTTAGGGCATGTGTGCTCACCAGAGAGAGACAGACAGACAGACAGACATAGTGAGAAAGAAAGAAATCCCCCCCCGCCCCCAGGGGGGATGGCCACACCGCAATCCCTTCTCCTCCACTCTCCTCTCGGGATCTTAGGCATGCATGCACATATGCTTGGTGTGAGTTTCAAGTCACTGGGTCCAGGACTCGAACCACAGTTGGCCATGTGGGAGTCCAGTGATGTAACCACTACACCATCTGCTAGTCCCTTGTGTATTCGTTGTGCACTAAAGAATATTAGTTTTTAAAGCAGGATATGAGATCGTATGGCAGCGCGACCTCAGCCATGTTGAGACGTGCACAGAAAGGAAAGCCAGCTAGACGGGATGATGTCAACTGTCAACCGACACTGTCATCGGGTGGAGGAGTTACGGGCGGCTTCTCTGCTTCTCTGGATTTTCCAGAGGTGCGATGATTAGCATGCCTTTCCCCCCTATAATAAAAATGGAAGTTCTTTAAAAGGAAAGCCAGTGTTCCAGGAGCTGCCTGGGTTCGGGTTACAGCCCCGCAGAGCTGGCAGGGCCTAGTGGGGAGCAGGGCACAGGGCGCACAGCCAGAGCCCTGGGTCACCCAGCCCCTCCCAGTCTCTGCTGGGAGCTGGGACAGAGCCTGGAACCACATCCCTTCCCTCCTCTGCCACACGGGTTCCAGACCTCTGGTCTGACTAAAAATTTCCTTGCTCCAAAGACACAATCCTCCTGAATGAGAAGCTGCCAGATAAATTATTTTTCTAAGAGAAAGAGGGAAAAAAATAGTTTAAAAATAAAACTGACTTATTTCAACAGGTTCCTGGGCTTGGAGCCCACTGTGGATTGTGACGTAATTCTCACCAAAAACAGTAACAAGGCTGAAATCTGTCCCTATCTCTGCCCAGAGACTCACCCAAGGTTCTGCTCCCAGCCGTGCCCTGTGGTGAGATGGGAGGGGTGCAGAGGAGGCGCTGCATCAGATGACATGTCACGCTGGACAGAGGGACAGCTAGAGCCCCAGCCCGGGAGAGGACACCAGATACTCCATAACCGACCTGCGCACCATCCCATCGGAGCCTCCCGACAACCTCAGGCAATGGAGGCTGCTCTGCCCGTATCGCGGACGAGGAAACCGCGGCCAAGCGCAGCCCCCGAGCCAAGGTCACATAGTTTCAGCCAGCAAAGGAGTCAGATCTGACTCCAAATGGGACTTCAGGCGAGTCTTGTGTTACCGAAGTAAATCTTTGTCCTGCTTAGAACGAACTGATACACAGAGTCAAGTGTGAAGTAGGGAGGAAGTCTGCCCCTCCTTGTCAACACGGTCACCCCTTCACCCCTCCAGCCCGGGCACCTGCTCTGGCTCTGCAGGGCTGGCTGCTCTCATCCGCCCGGAGGCCCCTTCCCTAGAGATGCTGGAGTGGTTAGGGGACCCCACGTTCCCATGCACACCACCCTACAGTGACATGGAGGATGACAGCCTGGTCCCCCGCTGCTGGGTGGGACTAACTGGTGCCATTCACATGCCACATCTCCCTGTGACACCGGGCTGCGACGGGACTCAGGCTGAACACACGGCTCTACGCACCCTCCTACCCGCCTGCCCTGTCCTGCCGCCTTGTCCCCCAGCACCTGCACCAGAATCTCGGCTTGGCCTCTAACGCATCTGGGACAATCCCCCTCCCTCCTGCACGCACACAGGGGGCTCTCCAGAGGGGACCCCCATGTGCATCTTATCCAGAACATCTGAGTGATTCACTGTCCCTGGAATCACACGCTCCATGTCGCCTGCAGCTGCCCGGCACGTCTCGCCATGCCTGCCCACGGTGGTGTCCTGTCACGCGGAGGGCCCGGGCACTCACGCTCGCAGTGCAGGTTGGGTAGGCTGATGTTCAGGCTGACGTCGATTTTGCCCCCGCTGTCCTTGTCTGGGTCATCGACGTATAGCTCGTTCACGCTGAGGGAGACAAGACAGACACCTTCGTTGAGACGGGGGCACCCACCTGGCCTCAGGGGACAGTCAGGAGCCACCTCCTTGGTGACCACTACTCAGATGAGCCAGACTCCCTTCTGGGCAAGATGTGCCGTGCTCAGTCCTGCCAGACCGCCCTCAGAGCTGCCTTGGCATCTAGAGGAGGGGTGAGGTGCTGGGAAGAGCACGTCTTTCAGAGCGCACAGATTCAAGTTCAAATCCTGGCTCTGGCACCTTCTACATGCACCTCTGTGTGCCCATCTGCTAAGTAGGATCACACCACCCACTGCTAGAGAAACAGGGGTCTGACTAGGGACCAGGGCCAGCACCAGAGGCACAGAGTGAGCACCTCGGTGCCTCCTCCAGGGCCCTCGCCCAGGTGGGCGCTGGCATTCCAGGTGCTCATCCTCACAGAGGACTGGCTCCGGGTGACGGCCTGGGACCCAGCTCCGGGTGATGGCCTACGGGCTGGTCAGTTCCCAAGGCTGCTGCAGTGGGTCATCTTGGGCTAACAGCTGTACACACCAAGTTGCACTTGCAGTCAGATGTCCAAAATGGGTCCAGAGGCCCGTGGTCTTCCCAGAAGCTCCCGGGAAAACCTGCTCTCACCCTGTTCAGCCTCTAGGGGCCACCGAGGCTCACGGTCCCTTCTTCCTTCAGCAAAACCCACAGCACAGCCCCTTTCCTCCTTGCCGACCTCCTGCCTCTGAGAGGTGTGACTGCGTCAGGCTCACTGGGGTAACCCACAACCAGCGCCCCATCTCTGACCCTAATGTGACCGCAGCTGTGAGTTCCTTCTGCCATTTAAAGTGAGAGCCAGAGGTTCCAGGGACAGGGACAGAGACATCTGTGGGGACAGGGGGTGTTATTCTGTTGAGCACAATAGCCATGGACAGGAGTCAGGTGGCCCCACAGCCAGCCGTATCACCTTGCTGCCAGGGACAGGGCCACAGCGTCGGACCTGCTGGCAAATGAGCTTCCTGGACACCTGTTACCTCTCAGGCACCAGCGACAGTGAGGAACCCGGCGGGTGTAGGCTCTGCCCTCACTGGACTTAGGGACGTGGGACCCAGATGTCGCTCACCTCCTAAGCCAACACACTGCCACCAAATACAATCGGTGCAGGGACGGCTGCCGGCTGCCATGAAGGGCTCTACCGGGACTGGCCTTCGCAGGGAGGGCCTGGAAGTGGGAGGGCACGGCTGGGCTGGGTCGGGGACTGAGTGTAGGGCCCATGGCTGCTGTGTCAGAGCAAAGGGGAGCTGGGTGTGAGGAGTCAGGGCAGGCGGCCGCGGCCTTCAGACTCGTGGTCAGGCCTGGGTTGGCGTGGCTCCCCTGGCTGTGGGAGGAGGACCTGGGAGCCCGGGGTGGGGTCTGAGTCGGTGGGTGTGCAGACACAAGGTGTCTGGGGGAAGACCTGAGGGGCTGGCGAGTGGATGTCCGATTCCCAGACAATGCCCCACAGGGAAGGGGAGCCGAACCTGAGGCTGGGTCTGGTGCGCGGCCGAAGGGCCAGCTGTGAGGTGGCTGGGCTAACTTTACAGGTCCCTAGGTCCCTGGGACCTGTCCACAGCAATGAGACTCTGAGGGAGCTGTGTAGGTGGCCTCGTCTATGGGAAAGGAGGAGCCAGGATGGGGCAAGAGAATTCGTTTCCCCTAAGGCCCCCCACTTGTGCCCAGCTGCAGGAAGACAGCAGGGCTTATTTCCTTTGAGGGCCACCGGAAGCGGCTTACCCCAGACTGCTAGACCCCTGCCCATTCAGCCGGGGGAGACCTACTGTGCGCATCCATGTTATCTCCTCTGCCTCTGTGAATGTCCCAGTCTCTGTTCTAAAACTAGGAAACTGAGGTTTGGAGAGGGTGTGTCCTACCCCAACGTCAGACAGCAGGAAATGGCTGAGCTGGAATCTCAACCTGGCCTGCCTCACACTGAGCTCAGGCTGCCTCCCTTCCCTCTCCCCAGTGCCCAGGGTCCAGGGAGAAAAGGAGGGGGGCTCTGGCCCTCGGGGGCCGCAGCATGTGGGGAGGGGAGACGGGGGTCAGTGCGCCAGCTGGAGAAGAGCAGACAGGGCCACAGAGGGCTAAACTACAGGCCCGGCTCTCCACAGCCACCTGCCCTTCTTGGGCCTGCAGCACCCGGTTTCCACCCAGCCTGAATGTGTACCTCCGGAGGGTGCTGAGTCATGAACTGGAGGGCTGCTGAGTCATGAATTGCAGGGTGGTTAACAAGGCGGTCACCCAGGGAGAGCCTCTGGCGTCACCTCCCTGCCCAGTGAGACTTCGTGAAGCTCTCACCTTTCCCACCTGGCCAGGCTGAACCTCTGCACACCTCGGAGGGACTGTGGGATGATGTCACCCGTGGCAATCTCCTGGAGGTGAGCTCAGCGAGGAGAAGGTGAATCCCAGGTGTGGTGCCAAGGTGAGCTCACCCAAGGTCCCTGGAGGCCTCTCCCAAGAATATACTCTGTCTTCCTCAACGGAATAAGCAGAGGCCAGGCTCCCCGGGGTGCATGGGCCACCCACAACCTAGGGTGAGGCGGTAGGCAGGGTGGAAAGTTCGCGGCCTGCAGAGCCTGGGGTGGTCTGGTTACGTAAGGCCAGAACCGACCGCTCCGAGGCCCTTCCTGCAGGGCCCTGGGCAGCAGGGCAAGCACGGTTCGATCACCAGGGCTGCTTGGTGAGGTCAACACGGCCACCTTCCATGTCCAAGGCAAACGCTCCGGGGCTGCTGGCTTCCTGCCAGCCCAGCCAGCACAGCAGCCTGCCCACAGCCACCCCTTGGCAGGCGCCCGCCCAGGCCCACTGACTTCATCGGTCGGGGGGGGACGGATTTTTTAAAAA